CTTTCATTCCCCCAAAGCAATTAGCAGGAAAATGACTGGATCTGTGGAATAGTGTTCAGGTACAAAAAGTAGGTCATCTTCTATTTTCGTGGTTAGTTTGGGGGAGAGAAAAAGGGAAAGAGGCCAGAAAAATAGAGGAGGTGGCAATTCTGAGAAGGAGAGAGAGCAAGTTGAGTTTTTTGGAACGTAAAGGAAGAAAGAAATAAAAGTGCTGGAGTAGGCCTGGGATGACCTGGGCACATAATTAGCAAAATCAAAGCAAAACAAACAAACAAAAAATCGACACAGCCCTTCTAGCATCTCCTCTAAAACAAGGTGAAATCAGAACTCCTTCACTTATACATTACTCTCAAGCACACACTTCCTCATTTAAAAAAAATCCAGTGTGCTACATGAACTCTCCACAATTTTAAGTTATGTAAGGTACAATTCCTAACCCTATTTTATTCATGGGGAAACTGAGGTACAGCATTAAATAAACAGGGCAAAGGCCATGTAACTACCAAGCATCAGAGCTGGGACTTGAACACAGGTACTCAGACTCCAGAGTCTGTGCTCTTAGCCCCTCAGCTATGCTGACTTGCTACAAGTTCCTTTGCTGTCCACTAGGCTACGAACTATAGTTATCTTTGTCATCAGTACTGCTCCATTTCTACTCTCTTGTGTTTTCCTGCCATGTCCAAGAATCACTTATTCAAGACAATTCCTCCATGAAATAACCTATCCTGTCTGCCAACAACTATATATAACTTATTTTCTGCTGTGTGTTGATTTTTACTGGAACCATGAAAAGAAGGATGAAAAATAAGAAATGGATTGTCAATGCTAGACTGAAAGCATTCAATTATAGAAAAGGTGGAGGTGTAAGTGCAGATATTTATAGATCATATAAAAGTGGTTCTTTAAAAACACCCCCACCCCCGAGACACAAGAAAACACACAGAATCTAAAAGCCAGTCTCAATCATATGGAATAATTATTAGAGACAAGAACAATTCTAAGGCTTGATTTTTTTCCTTTGGTTCCGACAGCCTACAGTAATTAAAGTCTCCTAATTAACACACACAGTGGAAGTCAACAAAAGCCCAGTGAGAAATGAAGGAAAAAATAATCTTACCTGCAGATGTGTGCTTGAACTTTTCGCTTTTCTTCTTCCTCCATTTCCAAGGCTTGAAAATCCTTCCCAGGTTGGCAAACTTACTTCTCCTCCGGATGGGTGGGGTATGGGTACCTGGGACGAGGGAGTCAGAACGCATCGCCGCCAGCCTCTCCACTTCCTCAGCTTGTTTTTCCCAAGAAAACGATGAAAATAGAGAGAGGAAAAAAAAAGTGTTAAAATGGGAGCCTCACAGATGGCCAGCGTTTTCCATGGTTACAGATAACAGAAGCCACATGACTGAAGTTCCGTTTCTCTTTTCGTCTTTTTGTAATGGAAGTCATGCCAACACGCTCCAAAGGCCAGGGACAGTCAGCCAAATCCTAGGAATTCAAAGACCCTAACCAAACTGGCCTAACCTTAACCCAGACATGGGGGAGGAGGAGGAGGAGCAGAGCCCTCCTGACACACCAGACACTCCCCACAAGGCAGGGAGGCATCAGAAGAGTCAAGTGACAGTGTAACTACTGGCCCAGCAATTTCTCAAATAAGACTTGGCAGATGCAATCACTATAACACCGTCTGCTGAGAAAAGAGGGAGAAAACATTTATCAACTGCCTATTCCAGTGCCAACGTGCCACCACCCACGGCTCTCTATCCTACTGCCCGCTCACCCAGCCCTGCGGAAGCACTGGACTCTGTTGAGTGGCTCCACCTTAGGGTTGCTGACTGCTTTTAGAGCTCTCGCCATTTGTTAGATTCTATAATTGCCTTGAATCCTCTAGTCTTTTTGTTTCTGCTTTAATTTCTGAAAGAAGATTCTTAGAAATTGAAAGCTGAGAGTGACTTTAGGGACCACCTAGACTACTCCCAATAACTTTACATTTGAGGACACTCAAACCTGTAATGCTTAGTGGGGGCCCTTCGTTTAAGGCCACAGTCATCCTGACCTCTTTTATAACTTGGAATGAAACAAATTCTTTTCCAACTTACATGATCATGTACACATCCCAGTGAGGTAAATATACTGCAACTTGAATTTTTGAGACAGGAATAATCAGAGAAAATAACCTCCTTGACAAAAATCAAGGGGGTACAAAGGAGTCGCCTTTGCAGAAAGTCAAATTATACCTAAAGCTGTGGCCAATCCCAAACCCTCTGTTGGACCTTTAACACTGTCTTTCAGAAAAATCACCTGGACAGGCTGTTCTTGGAAGCTCAGTCTTACAGCCTGGTAGGCTGCGTGAGGCCATTTGAAAGGGTTCTCACTCAGGAGATTCATACCTTCAGCAAACATATATGGAACCTGCGCCATGTGCCAGGCAGTGTGCTGTGGTGACAGATGATGACAGGTTGGTAAAGGCTCCTTGCAGCAAGACTGAAAGGAAGTAGATGAATTTGAGAGATGTCTGGGAAGCAAGGTCCAGAGGACTTAGTGACTAATTGGATGGCCTGAGGGAGGTCAGTGGAATGGCAGCCTTCATTCACGGGAGCAGGGAACATGGGGGAGGCACAGGTTTGCAGGTGAGGGCAGCAAGAATCTGGACATGATGTGTGGTGACAGCACTGAAAAGCTTTGACTACATGGCTCAATACACTGGGAGCTCCTCTTTTGAATCATTGTGTTAAGTAACTGCTTACTACTGTGCCAGACACTGTGAGCATTTATTGGGCAGACACACAGAAGAATGGGACATGGCTGAGCAGAGTCTAGAGGTGGAGATAAAAGGCTCAGTGTGTAAAACTGCCAAGACAGGAAACCATGTAAAATTCAATGGAGACAAAGAGAAGAGAATGACTAATTCTGTTTGGCCGTGTTGGAAAAGACCCCAGGGATGTAACATTTGGCTATATATTTTTAAAAACATACATATTTTTATTGATTTCAGAGAAGAAGGGAGATGGAAAGAGAGAGATAGAAAGATCAGTGATGAGAATTGAATCACTGATGGGCTGCCTCCCACACACCTCCTACTGGGGATTGAGCCTACAACCTGGTGTAGACAAAAGGGGCCACATGCTAACCTGACAAGCTCAGGGAAGGCGTGCACGGCGGTCTTGCAAACTCAGAGACCTAAAGTAACCACAAAGGATGGTCTAAAATTAAAATTTAAAAGCAGTTATGGTGGATAGTTACCTCCTAGCCAGTATCCTCACTAACAAGGCCAACTTTTATCTTAACTGAGTTTATCTGTCTTTTTGCATCTATGATAACATATCCTTGAAATGTCTGGGTAACTTCCCTTTTTCTGGACCCCTTGGGGCACAACCTAATGTGCCTGGGTGCCAGGACAGATACCACAAATTCCTTCATTGTTATTGTTATCATCTTAATTGTTGACTGTTAACTATCCTGCACCCACATAAGTATGTGTCTATCATTTTACTTTTTATCCAATCCCAGGGTTCCCCCTCTTTGCTTTCTCCCACCTCTCTAATCTATCACCAATGGA